TTTTTTTTTTTTTTTTTATCTGAAGTCGTAACTTTTACAGGAACTTCAAGATGTACCTCTTTATTATGAGAACGATCAATTATGGCATATAATCAAAAGTCCTGTACCTAAGTCGTTGTTAGTTCGCTCTGCGATCTTAAATGCTGGTTATCGTTGCTCTATATCGCATTGCAATCCAAAAGCAATTAAGACAGACGCACCGTTAGATTTTCTTTGGGATATTGTTCGAACGGTGGTATGTTACTTAACCAGTCTAGTTGACATCATAAACAGTGGAACAGTATTACCATTAATTTTGTGTATAAATTCTTTAGCATTTCTTTCTGTGAGCTTTTTCTTAGCGTGTGATCTAAAGTAGTTTTTTATCAGGCAAAGAAAAACAATATCGACGGTACTCGTTTGCAGGAACAGAGTTTAGGCAGAAAGATATTGGACACTCCGATTCGGTGAGTGAATCATTCAAAATTGAAATAATTTTTTTTTATTTTTTTTGTAACTCTTTTAGTATATTTTAAAGAGAAAAAGTTTTGATAGTTTTTTATATACACAGATTTTTTAAAGCATCACTGTTTGTTAAGAACTTTTAGTTTTTGTGAACGACATATTTGTCTTAGGCATGAAGTCGATTTGCGTACAAACTCCGAAGCCCAGGCTAGGAGTAAAACAGACGGTCTTTTGCGTTTTCAGTGCAATAGAGGAAAAAATTGGGGTCCCAAAAACAAGGCGAAAGGCTCAATAAATTCTGTGAAGGCGGGGTTTTTTGCGAGCGTTGAGAAAGATGGATGTGTAGCTTCCTCAGAATCGCACTAAACTGTGTGCAGCTGCGCTGTCTGTTGCAAAATTAATTATTCTTGGTATGTGAAATGTAGTGAAGTAGAGGTCAAGATGAGCAATACTTTCTGCTGTTGTCTAAAAAAAGTTGTTGCTTTGTGTTTTTTTCTGGAATTTTACTGTAGGACTAGTGTTTGAAACTTTTTAAAAATTTATGAGAGGAAGAAGTTTATTTTCATTCATCTTTCTCGTCTTGTAATAATTCCCTACTTCATACTGCTTGAGTAATTCAAAGTCTGTGTCGTTTGTTGTCGTTCAGTCGTACCAGCTATGTTGAAAGCATAAAAGTTTGTAGTAAAAATTAAGCTTTGGTCTACACAACATCTCTCTGAATGAATACATCGAAGTTTGGTGTTGTATGATTTACAGTGTTTAATCATAGGCTTTTTATGAAGTATAAGTATCAGTTAGGGGACGGTTGCAGTATGCGGTATCAGACTTAAAACACTTTGCTTTTGTTTATTTTGAGCGCGCTTTCTAGACCCAAGTTTTTTAATCTTACTCTGATCACCTGTCCGGATGCTACAAACTTTTGCTTTTAATTGGCTTTTATGTATAAAGTTCAGATTTAGCCAACTGAAAATCTTTATCATACCATGCCATTGCTGAGAATGACTCTCTTTGGAGTTAAAAAAATCACAGAAGTAAGCACTGAGTAGCGCTTTGGAAAGGTACAATGAAAATGGAGAAAGTAACCATGAAAAAAACTTTAGCAAAGATGGGGAGAGGTGATTACAGGTTATGGAAGATGCAATGTAATTAAAACGAAATAGTTAGAAACGGGGAATACTCAAACAAAAGATAGGGAACAAAGTATAGCTGTTAGGACTCCACAGTTCAGTTTTTTTACTTGTATTTTTGTTAAAAGGTTTTTTTCTGAGAATTGCTCTTCCTTTTTTGACTACCTTTTTAAATTTAGAAGCAGTTGGGGAGGCGTATGAAGTGGTATAGGTGGGCTCCTCTGGAGTGTTAACTCACTTAGAAGACACTGTAACTTGAACATTATGACTAAATAGGCTTTTCTGAAGCAGGGCAGAAAATGGTAAAGAAATAAAAAGGTTTTGAGTAGAAGAGTTGCACGGAGAGTGATTTAAAC